AACATGATTGTGGTGGTAATGATACTTGTGGCCATACATGTTTTATATCTGAGAACCATCCCTGGGAACCATATGGTTGAAGGAGAAAATGGATTCAGATAAGTTGTCCTCTGATTCCCACACATGCATGCCCTCACCCCACATTAATGAATACATGCAGACTTAAAAATTTCATGAGTACACATGGGATACATGGGATCAAATCCTGCTAATGGTCCATTTATTGTCTTTCACCTCTATTGAGTGACTTTACCTCCCTATCCCTGCTATTCAGACAGACATAAGTGCATCACACTTGTTACTATAGTTACAATAACCAGATGAAACCATACCCAGAATTGGTCTGGCCACGACTGTCTTCCTTCTCTCTTTCAGTTTCCCATGTGAGAATTGGAAGGATTTTGCAATACTTTGCCACCTGGGAAGTTTTTCAGTTTTGTGTAATCTCAGCCCAGTGTGCTCTACTAGCGAGCAAGATGGAAGCCTCTTTTGCATCATTCTCCTTGTCCTTGTGCAGGGACTCCTGGGCTCAGCTCTGGCCCTGGCATGCTCACTCACCATCTATATGAGGTCAATGAAGATGCAACTAAGCCATGACCATGGACTCAGCAGTGTATATCTCTCTCTTCATAAGCAATGCCTCACACTGCATTTGTGGCCCTAGCTTACATGCGACTCTCAGGATATTTCAAGCCCAAAGAGGATTGAATCCTGGGCCTTTTCTCATGCTTCCATGCTGAAATGCTGGCATTTCATTTCAAGCAAGGTTCTGGAATATAATCCAACCCCAGAAACATTCTGCTCTCATCATGCACCTCTGGCTACTACCTGTGAGCCCCCAAACACACAGTTAGTCCACTCTGTGCTCTGGCTTGCTCACTCTCTAGTCCAACATTGTTCTCTAGGTGCTTAGGAAGCCAAGCCAAGGGGCAAGGTTCAAGGACTAACGTGTGAGTTCTAGGCCAGTCTAGACAACTGAGATAGACACCTATCTCAAAACACATACACACAGATTATTTTAACAAAAGTTTGTGTTTGCAGTTTTGGTTTGGTTTTGACGCAGGTTCTCAGTGTAGACCTGTATATGAAACACTCAGCTACATCAATGTTTTCATATCAGATGAATAGATCATTGAATAGAAAACTTGTTCAGCACACACAAGACCTCTGCATAAACAGGGCATGGTAGTAAAACCTGTCATTCCAGTAACTTGAGGTGGAAGCAGAAATGTCTGAAATTCAAGGTCAGCCTGAACTTCATCAGCCTGTTTAAAAAAACAAAAAAAAAATCAACAATTAAGAAAAAAATATCAGTGCTCAGTGTTCATCATGGCATGGCTCATCAGGTAAAAGTGATTGCAACCAAGACTGATGGACCTGGTCTGGTCCTCAAAATAGAAGTGGAAGAAAGGAAGAACTGGGTCACACAGGCTGACATCTGATTTCAAACTATACTATTCATGTGGACTCACAAAGATAACAAAAATAAATAAATCTTAAAAGAAATAAAAGGGGATGAGAAATTGTTTAGCAGTTTAGCCCTTGTTGTGGACTACACAGTGACCATTGCTTTTTTGGCAAAGTTCCAGCATTTCCACATTGCCGATCTTAATTCTCCAGCATCAATTTTATTTCAATTTTAATAATTCTCACTATACGTTATGGAGTTTCTTTATGCCTTTTACTGTGGGAAATTTATTTTGCTGGCAACACTGGAGGATGGGAACATATACATAGGCAATGCAGTCTCTTTAAACAAAATTCTTGGAAAAAATCCCAACCAACATGCAAACACAAAATGTGATTACTATGCCTACTCCCACATAAGAGTCCCCAATGTGTTCCCCTGATTACACCAAACATAGAGAACTTAATGATGTACTAACTGGATACACCTAGTTGCCAGGATGAAAGCAACTATGAAAGGAAACAATGGGTGCACATACAGAAAGGCATTAAGATACTTGCTGAATTTATCACTTGTTGCCTCTGGAAAAATGCTGTAATGCGGTTGATGGCTGCCCTTATCCTGGAATCATTAAGTCTGTTTTTAACCTGCTTGAGTCTAAACTAAGATTCAGTTACAGAGCATAAACTGTGTAGTTGTTTTCAATAAATCATCAGCCACAGTGCTTCATGCTCACATCATTGCAGTCTCCTTCCTCTACTGATACCTGATCTCTTCTTTGGTACCTGAACTCTTATGACACTGGACTCCAGCAAGTACCTCTTGTAGAACACAAAACTCAGTTTCCAACACCCACATGGCAGCTCCCATCAGCTCACATCTGAAATTACCATATGGATTTCATCCATATGGTACTGTCCAATATGAATATTTTCATGACTATGAAGATTACTCTTCTTTGCAAATGCTTTACCATATTGGTCACATTTATAGGGTTTCTCCACAGTATGAATTCTTTCATGACTTAGAAGGCTACTCTTCCGTAAAAAGGCTTTACTACATTGATTACATTCATACGGTCTCTTGAGTATGAAATCTTTCATGACTTTGAAGACTAATCTTCTGTGCAAAGGCTTTACTACATTGGTCACATTTATATGGTTTCTCTCCAGTATGAATTCTTTCATCAACTAGAAGGCTTCTCCTCTGTACAAAGGATTTACCACACTGATTACATTCATAGGGTTACTCTCCGGTATGAATTCTTTCATGACTGTGAAGAATACTCTTCAATGCAAAGGCTTTACAACATCGATTGCATTCATAGGGTTTTTATCCAGTATGAATTATTTCATGGGTGAGAAGATAACTCTTTTTTGCAAAGGCTTTACCACATTGATTACATTCATAGGGTTTCTCTGCAGTATGGCTTCTTTCATGATTGTGAAGACTACTCTTCAGAGTAAATGCATTGCCACATTGATTTCATTCATCCAGTTTCTCTCCAGTATGAATTCTTTCATGGCTGAGAAGATATCTCTTCATTGCAAAGGCTTTACCACATTGATTACATTCATACGGTTTCTCTCCAGTATGAATTCTTTGATGGCTGAGAAGATAACTCCTCATTGCAAAGGCTTTACCACATTGAATACATTAATGGGGTTTCTCTCCAGTATGGATGCCTTCATGGTTGAGAAGATAACTTTTTGTTGCAATGGCTTTACCACATTGATTACATTCATAGGGTTTCTCTCCAGTATGACTTCTTTCATGATTGTGAAGACTACTCTTCCATGTAAATGCATTACCACATTGATTACATTCATACGGTTTCTCTCCAGTATGAATTCTTTCATGGCTGAGAAGATAACTTTTCATTGCAAAGGCTTTACCACATTGAATACATTCATGGGGTTTCTCTCCAGTATGGATGCCTTCATGGGTGAGAAGATAACTTTTTGTTGCAAAGGCTTTACCACATTGATTACACTCATAGGGTTTGTCTCCAGTATGAATTCTTTCATGAATTTGAAGACTAATCTTGTGTGCAAAGGCTTTACCACATTGATTACATTCATAGGGTTTCTCTCCAGTATGAATTCTTTCATGACTTTGAAGAGTACTCTTCACTCCAAAGGCTCTACCACATTGATTACATTCATAAGGTTTCTCTCCAGTATGAATTCTTTCATGCATTTGAAGACTACGCTTCAGTGCAAAGGCTTTACCACATTGATTACATTCATAGGGTTTCTCTCCAGTATGAATTCTTTCATGGTTGAGAAGATAACTCTTTTTTGCAAAGGCTTTACCACATTGATTACATTCATAGGGTTTCTCTCCAGTATGAATTCTTTCATGCATTTGAAGACTACTCTTCAGTG